TATACATATCTGTTGAGATGATGATAGAGCTAATATGCTTATCTGTTGAAAAAGGGAAAATGAAAAGTAACTTGGACTCATAAGTCGGATGACATAAAATGTGATTTATGTGGATGTATCAGTGTTGGCCATCTATCAATTGCTAATCTTTTAGTCATTGTTCATGGTTGGTTTAGTGTATTTCTACTGGGCTGTGGCTCACCCTATATGGGAATATCATTTTCAGGTACAGGTAGCATGCCACCTCCAAGGTCATAGCATGGGAGGCTAGAGGCGAGCAGATTGTTGTTGCTTTAGTTCTTTTTGATGTATTACATGTATATTCAAGCCGAGGGCTTAATGTGTAGATGAGTTAGCACTCTTTTGTTGTAACCAAGTGTTAACTTGGAAAGCTGTAAGCCTGTAGGGCATTTTGCTTTTGTTGTTAACATGTAATATTTTTGTAATGAAACTCTGATGAATAAAAGAATGTGGTTATTTCATATGTCAATGAATGTCTTATTTGATGGGTTTAATGTCATTATTTTGAGGGCGTTACAATAGTAGTGCAGAATTTTGCAACTCATAATGATGAAGATACGGACAACTGAGTGGACATAGAGGGCAATAACAGAGTTAAAGCACATAGTTTGACTTGTTCATTTAGTTACAATAGATTTTTTTCTACATTTGCATGTGTATGTGTGTGGAGCTGAGCCATGATTGCCTTCATTACATTTTTCTAATTTCTCTGTTGGACTAAATTTGTTTTCTGGATATGGTATGATAACACTGAAGCTTCAAAGGTTTCATCTTTTAGTAGCATATCTATATGTTTATTTATGCCCAAATCTTTTGGTGAATAACTTTAAGAATGAATTGAAACTTTAGTTGTTGTCTATAGAACCAAATTTGGGAACGTCAATATGGACCCAGCTATGGTTTTGACTGGAACAACAAATGAATGGAGAGTCAGACACCATTTTGGTAGTGTTGAGATCGGTCGTAGCCATAGATTGCTGATTGGGAAATGTTACACACCGGATTTCTCGTTTGCTCAAGAGACCGTGCGCAATTCACAGCCTTTCAAAATTGTATATAGCAGAGTGGTCCGAGAGAGCGAAGCTCACTAGTCTTGCAGCTTTTCTTCAAATGAAAACAGTATAGCTAGTGCCAAGTAAGGCAAGTTTTGTTGCTAGTCGAAGATATACTCCTTTATTGTATACAATTAAGACGGTAGTACCTTCAAGTTTCCAGCATTCAACAAGTTTCAAATTTCCTTGATATGTTACACCACTTAATGGACAAATGCAGGTTAGTTCCCTACAAGAAAAGCCTATTCCTTAATATCTTTTAAATGTTTTCTTTTATTTTCAAGGAAACAATTTTCTATTTGGTTTCATTTTTCAAATCTATTTTCGAAAAAACACTAAAAACAAATTTGGTGGAAATTAATGAAAAATTCAAAAACACTAGAATGTCCATCACTAATGTTAGTTATGAGATGAGAATAATAAAAATAGAACTTTATTGCAGAGTACTATGATCTCCTAAGCTTCTATACCAACATATCATGACCAACTTGCAGCTGCACAATGTTCAAAAATTTATGTCTGCAAATAAACTGTCAATACAGGAACTCTGGACTGTCTTTTTAACGTCAGGTACTACTACTATATTGGTATTCCACTTTAGTATTTTTCTCCAGTAAATATCCCAGAAAATAATAAGAAAATACATAATTAAGAGGTGATTTTGTAATCTCGTATAAAGTAAGTGGATGTAAATTGTTACCTTTGCTATCTTTCCTCACTTAGCGTGTTTCTGTCTTATTTCTCTCTTTCACCCTCTTTCTTTCCCATCTAGGAACTTTCTTTGTCTCTCTAAATGGATTAGAGGCTCTTGATGACCATTACTAACATATTTGGTTCAATCTCCATTTTAATTTTTTTCTACCAAAATTTGAGTGTTTAATGAAGGCCAAATTAGCTTCTGCAATATTATTTATTGGCTTCTCAAAAAGGCATTTGCTTTTCTGCTTCTTATTCCATGATTTTGTTTATTACTTTTGGTAAGAATGAGAATGTTTGGTTAAAAGTTGGTCTAAGAAGGTGGTGCACGTGTACAGTGAGTTTCGTCTTCTTTCTAGTGTGTAGCTCGTCTTGAAGGACACATTTTTGTAGTTTCTCAAATGGACAAGTATATGTTAGTAATGGTTCATGTTGCTCAATGTGACCTTGAATACATGAAGTACCCCTGCCAATTCATTTGGGAAATCACAAGTTTATGTTATCTGTATTTTTTTGTTGTAAAATATTACAGCTTTTATAACTACTATGACTTGCAATGTGATCTGATGATGGTAATGTGTGTGAACCAATTCCTGTCACTCAACTTGTAAGGGAAATTGCTGCTGTTATGCAAGAGTTCACACAGTCAGGGTAAGTGCTTTCTATCAATTTACATCTCAAATTGCTTATCTTTTCGGATGATAAGTATGAGTCCAATAGTAACAGTGACGATGATGATGGTGATGGCTAGTTTTTCAGGACTTTGATGAATAGATTTCTTTAATCTTTGAATAGTTTTGGATTTTGTTTACAAACTTATATATGATACAGTTTTGGATGGTTTTTAACTTTTTTTTGATAAATAAGCAAATTTATTAGAAAAGAATCAAGATGATGCAAAGAATACAACCTTAAAACCCTTAAATAAACAAAGCTAAACTATCAAATCCTCTATGAAATCAACATAAGCTGAAACATCTAGATCAACCAAGCCCGTAATCCAATTATATAACACCATAAATACCCGCCTCTCCAGCCAAGGAATTGACTAAGAGACCCTTTGGAATACACGCCTATTACGCTCCAACCAAATGAGCCACATTAAACAGCGAGAGGCAATCAAGCTCGCCTTTCGACGATGCCTCCCAACCCTACCCCCAGCCCAACTTTGCAAGACAACCAACACAGAACCTGGCTACACCCAAACCAAAACAAACCAAACCAAAAATCCCTACAATAAGCATCCAGACCCAGTATGTAACTAGGTAATGAACGAGCAAATGGTCCACCGATTCAACATTACCACAACACAAACAACACCGATTCAACATTACCACCACACAAACAACACCAATTCAACAAAATATGTCCACGACGCATCAGTTGTCAATCGTTAGAATACAACCTAAGGCCGCCGTCCACACAAAGAAAGCTACCTTGGATGGCGTGCCTGACACCCAAACACATTTCCAAGGAAACAAAACCGCATCAACATGAACGAGTGCACCATAGAAGGAAGACACAGAAAAAAGCCCTTTAGAACCGGGACAGGCCCAAACTATATAATCTTCCTTTGCACCCCTAGGTTGCAACCTGTATAAGAAACTCAACAACTCCACTAATTGATCCACTTTCCAATCCTGAACCTCACGACACAGCCGCACATTCCATACCACCGCCTGGCCTTGACCTACTCGAACCGCCGCTACCATAACCTCAGAGTCCTCTGCAATTTCAAAAATCAATGGGAACAAGATCTCTAGAGAGGCATCTCTACACCACCTATCACGCCAAAAACGAACTCTATCGCCCAACCCTACCTTCAACCGAATCCTCTGCCAAAACTCCGGCTAGCCCAACCAAATCCCTTTTCTAGACACCACAACCATGAGAGTGCCCCACCCTACCTGAGCACCACCCCCTTCTATGTTGACCAAACTTTGCCACAACCACCTTCTGCCATACATGCTCCCGTTTCCCCACAAAACGCCACAACCACTTACAAACAACGCCAAATTAAACATAACCAACCACTTACCCCCAAGCCCCCTATCTTCTTAGGGCGACGCACTCGATCCTATGCTACCAAATGAGAATGAGCACCCTCTCCTTATTTCCCCATAAAAAATCTCGTTTCAACTTCTCAATCCACTTCACAACTGCCACCGGGATCACATGAATCAACATAAAGTAAGTCGGGATACTCGACAAGATGCTCTTGACCAACGTAATCTTCGCGCCCTTAGATAAATATTGTTGCTTCCACCCTGCTAGCCGCCACCGCTGCACACGCTCCACCACTTTGTCTCACACCCCAAGGGCCTTGAAAGAAGCACCCAAAGGGAGACCAAGATACGAAACTGACAGAGACACCACCTTGCAACCTAAAATTATAGCCAACACCGGAAGCCGACCCACTTCACCTACTGGAATTAATTCAGACTTTGAGAGATTAACCCTAAGACCAGATACAGCCTCAAAACATAGCAACACACACCGAAGATGTCCAATCTGACCATCGTCCGCATCACAAAATACAAGAGCGTCATTTGCATAAAAAAGATGGGAGATAACCAAAGAAGTTGGACCTGAACCCACCTCGAAACCCTACAATAGACCTCCAAGGACTGCCCTTGACAACAAATGCCAACAAACGCCCCAAAGCCTCCATAACCACAATAAACAACAATTGGGAGAGGGGATCACCTTGTCGAAGGCCTCTAAATATTGGGAAAAAACCTGCTGGAGAGCCATTAACCAACACGGACATCCGCATAGTAGAAATACAAAAATGTATCCACTGCCGCCATCTATCCCCAAAACCCATCCTCTCCAGAATATACAATAGAAACTCCCAACTAACATTGTCATAAGCCTTCTCAATATCTAATTTACACATAATCCCCATATTTCGCTACCTCAACCTCGAATCCACACATTCGTTGGCCACCACCACCGCATCCAGAATTTGTTTACCACTGACAAAGGCATTTCGAGACTCAGACACCACCCCCCTAGCACCCCTCGAAGTCGATTTGCCAAAACCTTGGCCAACAACTTATACATACTACCTAAAAGATTGATATGGCGAAAGTCCTGAATATCCTCTGCCACACCTTTTTTGGGAATTAACATAATAAAAGTGGCATTCAAGCTCCTCTCAAACTATCCCGTTTGGTGAAACTGCTTGAACATAGCCATCACATCCTCCTTTACATCGCCCCACTAGTGCTAGAGAAAGGCGATAGAAAAACCATCAGGCCCAGGCGCCTTATCCCCAAGCATACTCCACAGCACCTTAAACACCTCTTCTTCTGTAAACACACTCTCTAACAAAAGATAATCCGCCTCTGAAATAAGATCAAATGGAAACCCATCCAGCGTCAGCCTCCAAACTTCCTCAACAGGCCGAAATAGATACTCATAAAAACCTACTATGGCCATCGTAATCTCCTCCGTGGATGATAACACCACCCCATTCACCCGCAATCTCCCTATCTGAGTCACTCGCCGATGCGCATTTGCCATACGATGAAAGAAGCTTGTATTCCGATCTCCATCCTTTAACCATAAACATCTAGATTTTTGGCGAAAACTAATCTCCTCCATACGAGCCACATGACCAAAATCCTTTCGAGCCGTATCCTGACGGGCCATATCCTCCTCAAACAAGATACCCCTATCATCTTTCTCATCCAGCCCCTGCAATACTGTCAAAATAAGCACCTTCTGAGTTTGTAGCTTCCCAAACACCTCCCGATTCCACTGTCGCAGATCTATCTTGAGAAGCTTCAATTTCTGGACAAGACGACAACTAAGATTCCCAAGCACAGTATAACTGTCCCACCACCCTCTCACTCTCTCCCCAAAGTCGTCAGACAAAAGCCACATATTCTCAAATCAAAATGGCGACGGTCCCCTACTGATCCCCCCACTGTCCAACAAAACTGGCCAATGATCCGACACAAGATGCTGCCACCTTAATTGAATCACCCGTGAAAAATGCTCCTCTCAATCTCTAGTCACCAGAAACCTATCAATACGGGACATCGCCCTGCCCCCATACTAAGTATAGCTACCCCCCTGAAGCAGTAAGTCCACCAACTCCAACTCATTAATAAATGAAGAAAAAGCACGCATTAAACCAGACACAGAGGTTTGCCGCCGACCACTCGCACCTCCACCGGCCTTGAAATCTTCCACCAACGTCGGATCCAGTTACGCATGGCCCCAAAACCCACCCGCTTTGCATCTCCACTATCCACCTTACCTACCAAGGACATGTCCAGTAGCCTGAACCACTCCACCATAGATGTGGGGGTCACGACTTCCGCATCAGACGCGCACTGACCCACTGGTGATACAGCCTTTACCAGAACCTCCTTGCCATGCTGTCCAACAGATTATGGCATCCATCCATCCCCCAGCTTGAAACCTTCCAACACCAACGCAACTTCTTTCCAACTATCCCCAAAAGTGGACATGGGTATGAAAATTTACTCCCTTCGTAAGCCTATCGTCACCACAACTTGCACCGAGAACCCTCCTCCCACCTCCTCCTGAACCCATATTGCTAGACTTCGACGACCTTCGTTGAGATGGCCCAGGAATTTCAAATTGCCTGGTGCTTGCGATGTCACCCTTAGCTTCCTCACAAACAAACCTACTTCAACATCGATAAGAACCATTGTCTGCCGAAGTCCTTTCCCCTTCTCCACAAACGAAAGAATCTGACGACCTATGGAATCTACCAATGCCTCCTCTATCTCAAAGGAACGGCGTCGAGAAAAAGATTCCGCCGACATGGACCATAATTAGTCGCAACAGGTAACATTAAAATCGCCTAAAATCTCGGAGCATCTTTCAAGAGAAATAAAATCTACCAAGAGAATTACACCATTCACAACATCTATTAGGTTAGTTGACTAAAAAAAAGTATTAAGCCACTATTAGTGAAATTAATACAATTACATTGATGAAACAATGCTAAGGAAAACAAAGAAAATTGTGTATGTAATCAAAAAAATAGACAATTTAGAACTTAAGGATAGTCCTTTTGGATGGTTTTGAACTTGCGGTTAATTTTTGGATGTTTGGAATGTATTGACAATTTTTGAATGTTCATAATTTATGGATGTAGTTTATTTTTTATGCTTGAAACAATATTTTGGTGGTTGATTAATATTTTGTGAAGCTTGTTTGTAATGTTTGTTAGATTGTACAAAACAGGTCAAAATAGAACCATGCTGAATTAAAAATAAAATAAAAATAGTACACATTTTACGGCAAGCAAATTAGGCCATTATACGACATATTCCACAGCATTTTATGAACGTTGTGGTATGTTCTACTTATCTACGACAGGCTAAGCAAGTTGTATTACATATTCTACGGCGCGCAATCAGCGTTGTTATTTGTCTCACCAAAGTAGTCGTAGAAAAAGTAAAAATGATGCGTAAGATCTGCTATTAAATACTTTTTAATGGCGTACTAGGGCATGTCATTGAAAGTGAATGATTTTTCATGAGTGGTCATAATATGCACGTCGTGAAAATCCTTTTTTGTTGAAATCACCACCTATAACTAGGTTCTCTCTCCTACGGATATCTCCTGTAATACCTCATCTTTTGGTCTCAAAAAACTTTCTTAGTCGGATCATCTAATCATACTTGGGGGGCGTATGCACTAATAGCGTTCACTATATTCTATCCAATAACCAGTTTAACTAATATAATCCTATCACAATTTCTAATGACCCCAACTACATTTTGTACAAGGCTCTTGGCAACTATTGTTCCTACTCCATTCATGTGTCTATCCTTGCCACAATAATATAGCTTAAAGCTAGTATCCTTTATTTCCCGAGCTTTCTCACTTGTCCACTTAGTTTCTTGTACGCAAGCTATACTAACTCTCCTCCTTATCATGACATCTACCAATTCCATAATTTTACTAGTTAAAGTTCCTATATTCCATGTGGCTACTCTAAACTTATAATCTTGGATTGGCTTTTTTATCCACTCTTGTCCAGAAAAATGCAGAAACCTTTGCCTATTTTTCACCGCACTCAAGCATCGATGCGGCGCCCCTTACTCACTTTTCGAAATACTCGTAGGCAAGCGCAACGCGTCACTTAAGGCGCGTCACTTAAGGGGAAGGATCTAGCATTGAATCAATTTGGAGAATTAGGCTTCATGTCATAAAGGATCTGAGCGACTTTTTTGCGTGTTGGCTGTCGGCTATCTAACACACAACTCTCCTCATTTACCCGAGTTTCGGATCAGCAGAGTTGTTAAGCAACCCCAACGGACTTAATGGCATCATCAGTTAATAAAAAAAAATATAAATCGAATTAGGTGGATATTATTTCTTCTCTCACTATGAAATTAAGAACTACATAATAAAGTGAGATGATGACATCCACCTAATTAGATTTATATACAAATATATATATATATATATTTTTTTTTGTGGTGATAACACTACTTAGGTATATATACATACATATTGTTTGTTTGAATTATGTAATAAATAATATATATGTCCCTATTAGTAATAGGGAAACATAGTGGCTCAGTGGTTAGGCATTGTGCCTATTTTGTCGCTTTGCTGTTACTGCAACATCCCTAGATTCTCGGTACTTAACCAAAAAAAGAAATAGGTTGAATGGTGAAGTGAAACGAGGAGGTTGTGACATGTGTCTCACTAGACAAGTCAATGGCTAGGATCTTCCTTTACTAAAACGACCTTTCTGATGAAGGGAAAAAAATGGTACTAAAAATTTATGATAAACATAATACAATAATTATTTTGTTGATCCACTATTCTATTTTGGACGTCCCATAATGATAGTTCAATTTGTAAAGTCAAAGTAGAAAACATTTAATTTTTTAAAATTATTCTTTTTGATTAATTATAAATATATTAAAAATTTAAAAAGTTAAGAGCATTAGGAAAAAAATATTTTAAAATTTAAATTTAAGTGTAATGATTGTATGCCTCCCTAAAAAGTTGAAATCCTCAAAAGAAATACAAACTGAGATGGGGTGAATAATATATTAATAAATAATTTATGACAAACATAATAAAATAATGGCAATTTATTAATAAATAAATCTAATAAATATAGTAATAAATTATGTAGGGGAAATAAATCTAACAAATTATGATAATATATTAATAAAGTCACAATTAATTTTTTAAAATCTTCAAAAGAGAAACAAATTGAGATGGAGGGAATAATATATTAATAAATAATTTATGATAAACATAATAAAATAAGAGAAAATTATTGAAAAGTCCCATTTGGGAGGGTTTTGGACCGTGAGATCCTTCTTTATTTTTAATACTCTTGGAAGTCCTATTTTGTTGGTAATGTTACCCGGAAGATCCCATTTGGCTGATTTGGGGTAGATTATGTGACTGGTTTGCCCTTGGTTCTGTGTGGTAACTTATTTGTCTGCTATGGCAATCCCATTAATTATGGTTCTGTTTTGAGAAAGACAATTTGTGGGGAGCAGGCTTCTGTGTGTGTTTGAAGTATATATGTGTGTTGTAATGTTCAAACACAACCACATTACACCATCCCCCATACAGGAAAAAAAGTTCAAACACAATCACACACTTCCAAACCCATCCCAATCCCCAACATCACACCCCCTCCTCATTCACCACATCCCACACCATCACCCAGATACATATGCTCATCGTTCTTCGGCATTGTCATCAGATTAAGGGTGTTCACACCTTCACACAACAACACTAGCAGAACTATTCCTTTCCAATCACCGTGGGTTATGAAACCGCTTACGTTACCATTCACCGCCAACTGAATCCCTGCAAATCCGGAAACAAATCTCCAAATCTGGGTCGACTATGTGGTTTCCATACCAATACTCACATATAAGATTTCAAACCAAATCAACTACAACATTTTACAATCTGGATTATATTTTTGGGAAATTAGGTTAGTGTGAGGAATTATCTTCCTATTCAGATATGGGTTCTGATTAGATTTGGCATAGGTGCATGTACGGTCGAGATCCATGGGGAGGTCCGCTGGAGATCAATGCTGCGGACTCCGCTACCGATGACGACCGCAGCAGGAACCTCAACATCCATTGTTGAAGATGTCAAGCTTCTGCTCGGAGTCCGCCACCAACGGCCACAACTCCCACACCTTCTCGATTTGTGAAGTGGGGACACACAGAAGCTAGGTTCACGTCAAACAATGGGTACAAGATCACTCTTCTCCAAGAACTTGCTTATCAACTGAACTATAGTACAAGTCAAGAAAAAACTCCATCAGCGGCCAATGACCACACTAAATGACCTGCCAAAATCAAATGCTGCAACGATTCCCCACCCTGAAGAAACAAAGATGGAAGAAATCATACCAAACCCTCATAATACTCTTCCAAAGGCCCACCTGCCCCCATATGGACATCTAATAGTATCTTTCCTACCCACCCAACATGCTGCCATATCTCCCCTCAATCACTCTTCTCCAAAGACTATCCCTCTTCTATGTGAACCTAACTATGAAAATAGATTTCCATAAATTACTATACAATCTTCCAATTCAGTCGATTATCAACCCTTTTCTTTTGTTGTTGAAATTTCAACCAAATGAATAAACAATATAAGAAAGCCATTCATTTCCTAAATTTCAAATATGAACTTTTGCCAATTTCACCAAATATTCAGATTTTTTAGCCAATTTCTTTCTATCTGAAATTTGACCAATTCAAATTCGATCAACCACTCTAAATCCGCCTTCCGTGAAACCTGAGTAAATTCAGAAAATTGTAAAACGATGTTCTCAAGCAATCAGCTTAGCTATGATTTTCTCCATAGAATTACAACAATCCATTAAAAATTATAGTCAAAAC